TCGATCTTCTTTTCGTGCTATCATCAAACTTGTTTTGATATTCCACTCGAGACATTTATTGTGTACAATAACCCAAGCAGTAACTAGATATGTCCTATAGATTCCATCGACATATCTACCTAATCCGAGGCTCCGCCTCTAATCACTATACTAGCAGTATAACTGGAAAATTAGTAAAAAAGCAACTAACATCAGACGACTTAGCTAATTTGATGAATGCTCTCACTTCCAGCCAACCAAAAGGCTTTGGGACCATTATCAGTCGTTATGATGATATCATAAGTTTATAGCGCACCTTGCGAAATTAGACTACGATTTGGACAAGTACCAAAAACAAATTTACGGCCTAGAAGAAAGAATTTTGCTTTAGAAACTCATATTATAGATACCATTGTCGAGTCCAAAGATCTATCTCTGCAAATCATGAACGAGGTCATTGAAATCCAAAAGCATTCATTAAATATAATTACTCATGGTGTTGAGGTATCTCCGAGTATGGATATAAGCGAGTGAACAAGATTTGATACTGAGGGTGTAACCAAGCTCTTCTCGTTATGCTCCGCATGTCCCGATAACATTGTTAATGTTACTCGTCTAGGACGTCTAATTGCTAATAAGTCTAGACCGATTAAACTGACGTTGAGCAATCATTGCGACGTCGACAGTTTTATTTCGTCTTTTTTGACTACTAAGCGAAATTCCCCTTCATATGAAATAAACATTCCGTTGTCAAAGACCGCACCCAAACAAAACGCCGCCACATTAAGGATGTCTACACGGATAACCATATTCGAGTAAACGCTGGAGAATATAATATTTAAGTCCACTACTTCAACGGTCCGCCAAAAATTATAACAACTGGATCAAAAAACTAATTTAGATGACAGAGGCCAATAGTAATTTAATAACTAATCTTGGAAATTTGAAAATATTGAGTCTAAGACATATTCAGACAAATTAACAATGTTATTGAACTAAATTAAGTTTAAAAGTGAGAAACCATCAATAACAGCCTGTCCTGAGGAGGTTGAAATAAAATTGAAACACTTGAAACCATTCTTACAACCAACCTAAGTTAAATAAGATGTATTATAATCACCATAGATAATAAATGTATTGTTGGGATAAGTGGACTCATTAACTGACATTCAAAGAATCGATGCTTGGTAGATTAGAATTAAAGGCTTTTTTGATAGCAATGAGAACTCTCCTGCCACGACTTAGTTTGCTACCTAGTTATCTCATATCTATTACAACGAAAAACACTGTATCGAGTGAAACCTAATTCGTTATCAAGAAAACTATCATTGAAACATGTCTCCGTGAATACTAGAAAATCAAGTGAAAGATAGAATTGAACATTTTTTTTGATTAATTTTGGTACGTAAACCACAAACTTTTTGATAATAACCGGTGAAATTAAAACTAGTTTTATTGTAATTTTTTGTTTGAACTAATAGAGAAAGTATTTAATTTATCTATATATTTAAAATTAATATTGGCCTCTGTCATCTAAATTAGTTTTTTGATCCAGTTGTTATAATTTTTGGCGGACCGTTGAAGTAGTGGACTTAAATATTATATTCTCCAGCGTTTACTCGAATATGGTTATCCGTGTAGACATCCTTAATGTGGCGGCGTTTTGTTTGGGTGCGGTCTTTGACAACGGAATGTTTATTTCATATGAAGGGGAATTTCGCTTAGTAGTCAAAAAAGACGAAATAAAACTGTCGACGTCGCAATGATTGCTCAACGTCAGTTTAATCGGTCTAGACTTATTAGCAATTAGACGTCCTAGACGAGTAACATTAACAATGTTATCGGGACATGCGGAGCATAACGAGAAGAGCTTGGTTACACCCTCAGTATCAAATCTTGTTCACTCGCTTATATCCATACTCGGAGATACCTCAACACCATGAGTAATTATATTTAATGAATGCTTTTGGATTTCAATGACCTCGTTCATGATTTGCAGAGATAGATCTTTGGACTCGACAATGGTATCTATAATATGAGTTTCTAAAGCAAAATTCTTTCTTCTAGGCCGTAAATTTGTTTTTGGTACTTGTCCAAATCGTAGTCTAATTTCGCAAGGTGCGCTATAAACTTATGATATCATCATAACGACTGATAATGGTCCCAAAGCCTTTTGGTTGGCTGGAAGTGAGAGCATTCATCAAATTAGCTAAGTCGTCTGATGTTAGTTGCTTTTTTACTAATTTTCCAGTTATACTGCTAGTATAGTGATTAGAGGCGGAGCCTCGGATTAGGTAGATATGTCGATGGAATCTATAGGACATATCTAGTTACTGCTTGGGTTATTGTACACAATATTAATGTCTCGAGTGGAATGTCAAAACTCTTTCCTGATTTGTAGAGATAGATCTTTTGATGAATTTATTTGCTGCGAACCTTAAAAATCGGTTCTGAACCCCTTCAATAATCTCAACGTTGGAATTAGTATAAGGACTCCAAATACTCTAGGATGGATCTAACTAAAGTGCAATAAAGCAACTTAAGTGACACCAAATTCTTAAAACCAGACGAATGACGTTTAACAAAGCCTAACACACCAGCTTTTGCAATTAATGCAGGTCCCTATTAAGGTTTTATTAATTACCTATTACTATAAAATATTATTATGTTTTTCTGTTTTTGCATTGAATTTTATGACATATGAATGTTATTCTAGGTTTTCGTTGAGTGTTAATAATTTATGATATTACTTTTTGTTATTCTTGCCCATATCAACTCACTATTTTTGAGTTTTATACTTTCTTCAATTCTAAATTCAAATATTTCAAGTATGCATTGCCTTCCTATTTTTTACTATCTACACATTCATTAAGTTTATGGTTTATGTTATAATGATCTATGGATGGATTATAATAAAATTGTCATAAAAATTGGTTAAAAGCAGTAGTATTTTTGAGACTAGCGGCATACGGTGTATACTTTACACCAATTTACCATTAGGAGAATTAGCGTATACCATGTGTGCTGTAGAAATAGCACAAATACGCTAGGACCTATACCTTTAAAATTTTAAAAAAATTAAGCAATCAGTATTCTCTGTTATTATTTATTTGTATATAACATTTATCAATTATCTATACCTAACTTATAAGTTAGAACTGTTGTGTAACAATTAACAAATAATTAACATTTGTTATTATAAACTATAAAGTATTTTAAGTGTTCTTTTTTTTTTCAAGGAGTTGATGCGCCCCACTAAACATGTTTGTGTGGCGGCCACAGCCCACAGATATATATATACAGTTATTATATTATATATCTGTGGTGGCTGCCGAAGCAAAATAGATTAAAAAGATAATATCTATTTCCTAATCACATTCGTGACCTTGATTATTGCAGATTATTTTAAATACCATGTCCGAGTTTCCACCAAGGAATACCTAATAAAAAATTCCAAGAGTTAAATTTTAAGTCCAATTTAAATGTCATAAAAATGTTAAATGTGAAAAATATAAATGTAGAAACAAAACTAGGTAACCAATAACGTATTTTTTTTTAATGTCTGGGAATCTGTAAAATGTATAACCCGAGAGTCTTAGTTTTCATCACACATCACGGACTAAGAGAGCGGCTTTTTGAAGGGTTGAAAGTTGAAACTGATTAGTTATTAATTTTGAGCTTATAAAATGACAATATTCAAGGTAAGATTCATACCTCGTCGTGTCGTGTAAAGTTGAATACATTCAACCTTGTAGGTAATGTGTGAGGTGTGACCAATATTTTGATACCTATGTATTAACTATACGGATCACTACACGACGAGGAGTGAATCCACCTTCATTGTATCATGAAATTAAGTTCATGAATGAAGGGATAGTTTTTTACAATAACACCACAAATAACACCGAGTTTTATCCATTCCAGATTTTCTGAATTATTATCAAAAAGAACCACACTCGACGGCCACTCGTTTTCTATCGCTTGATAGCACTGCCCGAATACAGTTTTTTTATTTTCAAATTTCCGAGCCTAGCAGGCAGCAGCTAACCAACGAGGTTTACCACTACAAAGATATTTCTTTTTACAACTTAGATTTTAGGAAACGATTATAAATTAATAATTTACCGATAGTTAGTAATAACCACTAATTAATTCATATAATGTGTTAACTGGAGGAGGCAAAAAGTGAAATCAACCTTAAAAAATATTATGCAAAATTTTTGTATTTGTAGGAGTTATTCAATTTTGTCTAGAAATGTTTAATAGGTATTTATAACAATGCGCTATAACCAAATCTAATGGCATTAAGATTTTTGTTGATTTCAGGGAATGAACTATAATAACTTTTGTTAAGAATAATATATAATTTGGTGGTGTATCGATAAAAATTTCATATAGCACTTACGAACATTGTATTAATGCAATTTATTATTATTAGTTATTAGTTATTACCAAACACCGAATAACCATAGTCATGACCTTAGTCAAGGGAGAGGGGAAATTTGGTATCTACCCCCTAGACACAATCATTGCTCTGGTGAGAGGGAATGGTATGGGTTACCGTATACAACTACATGACAATTATTGTCCCCACTGACAATGTAGTCTGGCTACAGCTCTGCTTCAAAACTAAATATAAAGATTAAAGAATACCAGAAAATAGCTAGTATTCAGTAATGTAAAACGAAAGTACACTCATAGTATATTTAAAAAAAAATATACTACAAATAAAACTTAAAGAATAATAGATTAATAACAAATGTTCCATAAAGGAACCTAAACATACACCAAGATATAGAAATTTCAAAACTTCATGACCAGATTAGAAAATTGACTGAACGTATCTTCACGTCTATTCAAAGTCAAAGGACTGTGCCATCTCAACATAGGACCACCACTACACCGCCACCTGAGATGAGACGTCCTCATGACAAGCATAAACAAGAACCTAAGGCAAAATAATTAAAAACAACTTTTTTGTAAATGTATTGTATTATTTTTTAATGCATTATGTATATAGACTAATATTAATTTAGGTAAATACATATTACATTTTTATTATTATTATTATTGTTCTTCAACTGATAATACTAATTAAATGTGTAAGTTATGAAGTAAATATGTATCTCTAGCACATAATTACAAACTATATGAATTTCCGGAATAAAATAAATTAGTACTCGGCAGTCAATTAGCAAAACACACAAGTCATAACAGCATGCTTCCTAGAATGTTGAAGTTAAATGGTTTAATTAATGTGTATAGCATAAAGTAATCATTAAGTATTATTTTAAGAATCACAATATATTAAATATATTAATGTTACACTTATAGTTTACTTATAGAATTTAAAATAATATTGAATATTTACAAATATAATTTGGCTGTAACACATTAACTTTATTATATAACCAGAATAAAAATAATAACTATTAACAGTCTTAACAAATACATCATATAAATGTTACAATATTTCTAGGTGGTTTTAAGTCTTTTTGTATGATGTAATACTGGAGGGCTACTATTGTTCATATTTTGTTTAATTCTTTTTTGTTTTTCAATCATTTTATTATAAAGAAAAATCATCAAATTAGTATTTTCCATGCATACGAATGATTTAACTAAATCACTTAATGTTTTAAATGTATGTGACATTTCAGCGTCCTCAATTTTTGAAATGATTTCATTACTAGCATCAATAGTGTACTTATGAACAGAGTTACCTGTTAAAACCCACAATTGATTACCATACGCTGCCAAATCCAAAACATTGTTTTCAAATTGAATAGTTTTTATACTTTTAATATTCCATTTGTTTTCTTTTTTCTCTGTTTTAATGAAATGTACTTCTTTAGAGTCATATAATTGAATAGCGGCTAAATCTTCAATTTCAATAACACTTTGAATTGCAGTTTTCAGAGTCAATTTATCAAGAAGATCACCGTTATCAAAGTCCCACAAACGCAGTGTACTGTCACCAGAGCCAGATAGGATAAAGTTGTTCAATAAACAAATTCCACTAACGTATGCCTCATGTCCCATCATGTAATGCACAATGTTTTTGCCGTTTGGATAATGTGAAACACGTATTTTTTCATCGTTGTCGCAAGTAACAATAAACTTTTCATTATCACTAATACAAATATCAAGGATCATAGACGAATGACCCAGGATGCGGACTGGGAGTTCTTCAAATGCATAAACATCACCTTTTTTGTCACCGACAATAATTATATTAGTTTTAGGTGTGAAAACTATGTTTGTTGCATGTTTTGCAAGTGTTTTGTTTTCAACCAACGTCCAGTCTGTGGTGTTCCAGATGCTCAGAAGTTTACCTTTATTCGGGTTGTACGCAAACAGTTTGCCATCAGCTGAAAACGCTGCACATGCTTTTTGCAAGTCACGGTTGTTGATTGGAATGTTCTTATAAGCTTCACCCAAACTTTCTGTAAGATTTTTTACATTTCCACTGTCTAACGAATACACAAAACATTTATCAACATCTATTGAAGATACTACTATCGTTTTTTCACCAACAGCCATACAAAACGTCATATTAATAATATAATGAAATGGGTTAGGTCAAATGTTTAAATTTTAATAAGCACAATTTAATATTATTATTTAATCACTAAAACACTGTTCACAACTTTCAACTTGAAATATTGGTAAGGTCAATTAAATAATTAAATGTATTTTTAATTATTATTTAAAACCAAATAACAATTGATAAATCCCAAATACCATAGGTACTTATTAACAGTACAAACTATATAAACGTAAAATCTCAAAACGTTTACTTTTGACAGAAAATTGAAATTACATATTTAAAATTTAACCAACTATTAAATACATAACCAAGAATAAAATTATTTTTAAGACCGTTTTACTGAAATTAAACATCGATATTCCGAGTTGCAATGTATAGTCGATAAAAACTTCCCTATAAATTAACTTCAGAGTTCAGAACAATTAAATAAATAATTATATTAAAATAATTTTTGTTATTGAAATTGATAAATTAAACTTTAGTTTTCCTAACATCATAGATTACCAAACATAAAAATATAAAATTACCTATTTATTAAAAGAAAATTATCGATATTGATATGTAATTTTGAATTTATTACAAAATCGATATTGATAAGCACCATGCACATTGCACCGTGCACACGTCGTTGTGTATCCAACTGCTATCTATAATTCTGTGCCGGTAATATTGTGATAGTACCATGATAAATTTAATTTAATTATTTTTATCATGGATAGTCCCTCGGATATTAATTTTACAGGCATGACTGTTTTGTCATGATTATAGGTGTAAGTTTAAATGATTGTTTGGTAGAGAATATTTATTTTATTGTTTAATTAGATTGTCCTTCGTCCGATTATCTGACGTTTCTTTTAGAACTCAAATGATTAAACTTGTTATTCGCCGTGCAAAAGTTGCACTGAAAAGTGAACAGCCATTGACAATCAACAAGTAAGAATCAGGCTAGTACTAGTGCTGTTATTGTAAATCTACAAAAATTTGGTTCGTGTGTAAAAACTTCTCATGATGTCAGATTCACCGAGGTTCAAAGGATTGAATACTTCGAGTGTCGGGAAGTCCTCACCAGCTCGTGGTAATTACAGCGTCGTACTACTCTACTGTTTTATTCCATTTTACTATGTTTGAGAATGTGTTACAGAAGTGGATATTCACTCAGGTCGTCCTGCACAAGGGCACAGTGGTAATTTGACTGGGAACCGTCGTATATTGAAAGACACCGCAGCAGATATTTTCAATCGTATGCAGCAATGGAAGATCCATCAAGACAGGGGGTGTGTTGTGATATCTAATATATTTAATTTGAGAATGGAAACGTGAGTATAATTTTTATATTAAATATTGTGTTTGAAAAAAAAAAAATGTGTGATGGAGGACATATAGTACCTACTCTAATTTTGGATTTAATGTTCAGAAAAGTATTTTTATTTATGTACTAATGCCATAGGTCAAACATTAAATTTCCAGATCAGCTTGAAGGTTTAGTGAAGGAACTAAAAAAACTTTGTGAACAAATGGTAAGTGCAAAATAAGTAGTCTATGTAAACCATATTAAATTGACATTATTAATATTTGGTGATTTAAAAAAAAATGTTTTTGTAGTCTGATATTGTTGAAGGGCTCAAAATTAAGTTACGGAATCTTACAGCTGTATCAGTTTTAGAAAAAGGCAATTCGGCACCACTTTTCATTTCATGGACAACAGAACATTTTTGTATGATTTAAAAAAAACAAAATATTTATTATAAACACGTAATCAACATTAATATTTTTTCTACAGGTAAAGTAACTGAGAAAATATTAAGAGCTTATCAAGAAGAACAAAAACTTCATCAAAGTCTTCTTTTGAGAGTAGCAGATAACACGGACCCTGATGTTCTGTTATTTTATCTTTCATGTTGGACATATCTGCCATATTTAGATCATAGCATAGAAAAAGAATTACATTGTATGATTAAAGAGACTAGACATGTATGAGTTAGTTTAACAATAAATAAAGCTAAAAATAAGTTAAGAATTATAAAAAAAGATATAAATTTATATTAATAAAACTATACTCTAATTTAATAACAAAGGGTTTTACAAGTCAAAAATACTGGGAGTACTCTCCTGAGCACATTTGCCTACAGACTGAATAAACTTAACAAAACCGGTATCTTTTGGTTTCTCCAGACCTCTTAATAAACGGTTTTTCATAACAGCAACAAATTCTCGATTGCTCAATTGTCCATCAACTAAAAAAATAATAACCAATGGTTTTTAGTTTCAATGATAACTATCAATGTAAAATATAAACTTACGGTTTTCATCAAATATTGTGAAAATTACATTGATCAAGTGGTCGTTTAAGTCAACATGAGCTACAGTTTTTGCTACGTGTTTTAAAGTGGCTATAAAAAAAAAACAAAAACAATTTATCACTAATCAGTATTTCTATAATAATTATTGATTGTTTATAAAAATGAAATAAACCTTGGTCAATTGAGGCTCCTGCAATATGATAAAAAGTAAGGGCTGTATCTACATCATTAATATTATTCAAAAAGTGAAAAAAATGTAAATAGTCTTCTTCACTGATGCCTCGAGTATTTTCTTTGAATCTGAAATCCATACAATTATTTATCATTTAGTTTACTATCTGGATTTTTTCTAAAATATTATCAGTTTGATAAAAATTGGGATTAATTAGTGAAAATAATTTTAGATTTGAATATGATTTACAACATATATCCATGATCCTTTTGTGTTTGGCGTAATATATTGACACAACCATATTTTAATTATTTTTGGCTAATGAAATTTTCCAATATATGGTAAAATAATTGTTTTCAGTGGACTATGAATTAATTTACTTTAGAAATACTTACACTTTTTTCACTCGCTTAATTATGCGTGCTTTCTTCTTTGGTGCATATCCAGCATATGCTAAAAGTAGATCAGTAAATTCTACTTCTGTTATGGTACCATCATTACTAGGGCCTTTTCGTTGAAACTAAATATAATTATATAGTGTACATAGTAAATACATAATTAAATGTTTTAGCTTATAAATTACCTCTAAACCTAAAATTTCTGTCTGTAATTGTTGTTGAAAATCAAGGAATTTCTCTATAGTTAGTTTTTCATCAAGATTTTCACCGAAAAAATACGTTGTTAATGCTGAATTGACACCCTATATGATTTATACACTATTAAAATATGAAAAATAAAATTATAATTATATAAGCTTATAAGTAAAATACCTTAAACGTATTGCCAGTATTTGCATGATCTCTATGACGACTTCCAATACTTGTCTGATGTCGGATTAGGGTAGCAACCTTTTCAAATTCTTCACAGTCAACATCACCATCGCCATTTAAATCAAACATTCTGAATGCAATTTCAAAATGTCTTTTTGATGCTAATAATAAAAACAAAAGAAAATTGTAATTAATAGTTATGATAAATCAATAAAATGTATTGAGTTCATACTTGACAGTACAGTTAATAAAAATATATAGTCTGAAAATGTTATCAGACCAGAACTTCCAAGTTTGTAAAATATACTGTCTTCATTTAATGCCAATTCTAATCTCATGTGTGTATTCTAGAAAATCAGATAAATACAGATGATAACAATTTAAGATCATTAAAACATTAAACTATACTACAGATTGAAATAACTCTTAATATTGTACTTTTGGGTCATATTTTTTATATTGATCAAGACCTAGTCCATCTGGTTGTTTGATTCCTGGTGTCATAGAACGGAGGAAGTCATCTGGTGTCATAAATACTTCATGGGTTTCTTGTCCATTAGAGTGCATATGTGTTACTTGTAAAGTAGCAAAATATCTAAAAACCTTGTCTGGGGTTGAAAAGTGACGTATCCTATTCTCGTATTCAATAATCTGAAATAAAATAAATTTATTATTATTATTAATTGATTTATCATTCAATCACTCAAGACCTTTCTATCTCGAAATCCAATTATTTGCTTAGGTTTTTTTTTTTTTTTGTCAACAGTTTCTTCTGGGAATTCATCTGATGGATTATCAGTAGTATCAACATTGCTGTCAGCATCTACAGGAGGAAATGTTACCTCAATAACTCTGAAAATATGTTAAACCATTAACAAATATTATTTTTGTGTTTGTAACAGATCAATAAATACATTATTTAATAAATATTATCATTGGTAATACATGATTAATATAAATACAATTAATAATAGTATATTATAGAATGGAGACGGGGACAGTATATTTTTTTAATGAATACAGCACATTATTTTATAAAAATGATAAAACATTAAATGAGCAAATATAAATTTACTTACTTGTCCCAATCGATGAACTGATAAATTATAAAGCCTATAAAAGCCAAAAGGTAACATTTTTTTAAAGGATGTTCTGGAGGATCTCTTCTATGACCAAAGTTCTTATAAGTACGTCGATGATCAAATTTAGCAACAGGTAATACAGCTAACATATTAAAAGTTCCATGGTTTTTTAATAAGATTTGTCTTGAATGTAATCCGTAACCCAAAATTGGGCGTAGTTTTGTAAGCCACATATCTGAAATAAAGAATATTTTATAAAGTTAACTTTCTAACTTGTTTGAAGTACCTAAGATTTTTTTTTAATGAAACCTACTTTGTTTCTGATTAAATTTATATTTTAATTTTAATCATGCTTCTCTTCTACAAACAATATTTTTACAAGTTATAAATTTGAGTCTATAAATGTTTCCTATAAGGAAAAGTATTTTAAATATTTTATATATATTTTTTTTTAATATAGTAATATGGTAAATAGTTTTTAGGGTATTTATAATTTAATCTTGTTTTTTATGTATTAGTATTTAGCAATATACAATTTAAATATACAGTAATAAGTTAGTTTTAAATTTTAATAACTTTTCTTCCGGTTAATAATAATAATAATTTCTTTGAAACTTAATTACAGAAGATATGAAAAAAATATTGAAATACTATATTATTGTTTAAATTAATGTGTGATAAGATAGTGGAATTTTCTGATTACTATGATCATGAACGTGTTGATAGTCAACTGAAATATCTAGGTTTAGGTGTTCAGATAACATATTTATAGGGCTTTAGGCCTTATAATATATTTTTTTCAAATAATCAGCTTAATGAACTAGTTTCATAACATTGTTCGCTTAAAATATATAATCAATTATTGAATATTGTATAACATAATTAACAACCAAAGAATGTAAACAATTCATTTGGAATAAGTTTTATTATCCCCAAATTATTTCTTTTATAGAAGATGATTAAAATAACATATCGGTAACACATTATTTAATTAGTTTTCTGATGTTGATCTGATTTCTGATAAATTATATAATAAGCTCGACGATAACGAATAATTTTGAACAGAATTCAAGAACTAAAGGTTATCATCCATTATTGTTTTCCAATGTATTCATTTGAGCCATCTACATAAAATATTACATCTTGCAAAGTACATTTAATAGCCGATGTTGTGTCAAATGTCAATCAAGGCTATATTATATACCATTATTATGCAAGGGGGAAATGTCATCATATTTTGTACAGACAATCAGAGCACACAATTCGGAGAAAGATTGTCTGTTTAATATTTAAGCTAAACCATAAAGATTTTTAGATAAATGGTGGGATTGTGGGTTGTCGCCCACATACTATAAATACCCATGGACAATTATTTAGATGGTCTGTGGTAACCCCCTAAAGTGCTCTTCCAAATTACCTGGTTATTCTCTAATTTGCGAGCTCAACCGATTGGACGGATCATGGCATGATCATCGCACGGCCCATTGGATGTTGCGTTCTTCAATACAATCTGGTCGAATGGCAATTAATTAACAAGTAATAATTAATAAGTGGCCCCAACTGGGATATCAGTGGACGATTTATTAATTATGAATTAAGAACCGCGCAGAATGCAGATATAGAATTACACTGATAACACACGGGGCTGACGTAAGGCAATAAAAACTGATAGCGTTTGTGACCTTTTTTTTGTTTTTTTCTTTTCTTGCGTACGGTTATCGATTTTTTAAAAATCACCCGCCTACGAAGCAGCTGCTGCGCTCGGGGCAGCCAGAGCCGCACTTGTTTGCGCATGTCTGCTATAATCAGCACCCGTAGTGTTATCAGCTCGTTCGGCGTTTTGGCATAGTATCGGGCGCAACGAGTTGATGGTCGTAGCTGCTTATTTGTGTCGTGCGCGCGGAAAAAAAAACAACACACAAACGGAAGAAGAAAATTGATTTTCTTCGCCGGCCTTGTACTTAACGAATACACCGCTCACGTCCACTTTAACAATACCCTACATGATACATGTTTACCGGAATGCGTAATTCAACATGGGGCTTTCGGCCGAAAACTGCTCACTGCCAAGAGGTAAATGCCTGCCTATACCCACCCAGTTCTAAACTTCTAAACCTAAAGTTTCTGCCGTTCCGCAAATGTGAAAACTCACACTCTCTAGTCCTCTACGCATTGTAAAAGATTTTTATCCTGATTATTCACTATTTGATTGCTATGTGTCATTGGTCATCGTAGGTACTTTTCATGCTTCTGTCTTAAATATTCACCATCTGTATTATATCGTATTCAGCCCTAAATTTGGTCCAAGCTAGCAGGTATCTATCATAATTATAAGAAATCATTTTGAGTAGCATTCAAATACCCAACTTGTTTGGTCGCTTTAACCACTACAAATGTGAAAGTAAAATACCTTTTAGGTATTCCTACTAAGTAATGTTACTGATTTCAGAATTTCCAAAATTTGTATACATCTTTAAAATTAAATTGATAACTATTTATTTACTAAGTCAACAAGTTGTCCAAGGTAATAAGAAGGCTATTAGAAAATATTAGGGGTGTGTCCAAATATTTTGATAAATGATAATTGCTGTGTTTTTGTAAATTATTATAATTTTGTTGTAATCTGATACATTTTTTTACAGGCACACCATGGTTATCTAAAGCGAGCAACCACAGAACAACTATTGGAAGTGTTCAACAAAGTATTTTTTCCTTGACTTAATTATGAGATAAAACATTAGACTTAAGGATTTATTTTATTTTTTAGTATGCCACTGTCGAGAAGCACGGCGAAAAATACATCAATTCTGTAGACTTCATAAAAAATTACATTGGTATATTGAATGAACCGTCCAGTGACTTGGGTTCTTTACGACTGTTGAGTGGAATTGTTGATACTAACAAAGATGGGTTAGTATATAAATATATATATATATATATATATTTATATTAATTCTAAACATATTCTAGATTATTTTGTTTTATTTCAAACACTTTAAAATAATATTATCTAAGCAAGATACAAGGTTACATGTTTATACCATTTGTAATAACTACATCAAATAACTCAGTTACAGTAATTATTTCATCTAATATGTAAACCCATTTTATAATTTGCTGTAGCTTCTAAACATACAGTGGAGTCTCAATAACTCAAATTTCAAGTAGGATGAAAATGAATTTAATGTATTTTTCAAGTATATAAGTTCCCTTCAAAAACACTTTTTTAAAGGACAAGAAAAAAATTTGAGTTATTGATACACGACCAATGACCATATATACTCTGTCTAGAGAGAGAACTTGCCAATTTGCGCGGCCTCAACTGATACCTTGGCACAGTGGAGCTGTTATCGACGGCTAGGTGTTGAACAGGAATGTGCAAAAGAACTGATTAATATCGGGCCGTGGCACTTTCTTTTGCTAGACAGAGGATAGGTATTTCATGATTTTAAAATAAAATTTCTAAAATTTCTTAGCTATGTAAGCAATACAGTTTTATTATGTACATTTTCATTATTTATTTACAGTTTAATGAAATTAAAATCTTAAAATGATTTAAACAAATAGTGCTATTATATTTTGTGATATAAAATTGCAATTTATTCCTTAGACTCATTTCATTTGCGGAATTTCAAGCGTTTGAAAGTTTACTGTCTGAACCAGATGCTTTATATAAAGTTGCGTTTCACTTGTTTGATATAAATGGCAATGGAGAGATTTCCTATGGTACTAAAATATTAATATAAAAATTATTTATGAATAGTATAATATTTTTTTTATTTCCAGATGAATTTGTATTAGTTATTAAAAAAACTGAGCTGTACTTAAAAATACCTTTCAATTTGGATAGTCAATTTATGAAATTGTATTTTGGAGAGAAGAAAAATCGGCTTATTAACTATTCAGAATTCGCTCAATTTTTACATGTATTAAAATTTTAAAAGTATTTTTAAATAAGTAAGTAACAAAAATTAAACTAAAACTTATGCTTTAGGATTTTCATGAAGAATGTGGAACTGAAATTTTTCGTATTTTTGATAAATCCGGTTCTGGTTTCATATCTGCAAATGATTTTCAAGAAATAATGCTTTTGTCCAAAAGCCATTTATTAACTAGCGGTGTCCGAGATAACTTATTACCAGTAATTTAATTAAATTAATCAGTTAATTTAAATTCTATAAATTATTTGAAAATTTTAATGGTAGTCTTTTTTTTTTTTAATTTTTAGGCTGCAGGAGGAGGTCAAGGAGTACATCGTGTTAGTTTTCCATATTTTATGGCTTTCATATCACTTTTAAACAACATGGAACTTGTCAAGCGTATTTATTTAAATGCCAGTAATGAAAATCGGAATCGAGAAGTTACTAAAGGTTGTTAACTTGAATTATGTATGATTCATAATGTTCATCAAAACAATTATTGTTCCTTATAATGTGACATAATATTTTTGTTGTTTAGATGAATTTTTGTATTCTACTCAAGTTATGTCTCAAATTACTCCGTTAGAAGTTGATATATTATTCACTCTATGCCATTTATTACATCAAAGAGCTGGGTAATTAAATTGTGCCATATGTTATGCAAGCATATTTTATAATCCTATATTTTTTTTAGCAAGATTATTTACAATGACTTACAATCAATAACACCAGAACAATACTATAAAGAAATACATAATCGTAGAATAGCTGAAATCCATGCAGTATCTGTAAGTATAATTCAAATGTTATTACTTCTATGCATTATCTAAATTACTTCATCTCTATTTCAGAGTCCATCTGATAGAGGAGTTTTTATTCAAGTTTTGGAGAGCTTGTACCGTTTCACCCTGGGCTCTATATCTGGAGGTAATATTATTTTTCTGTATTCCAGTAACATGATAACGGCATGTTTGGCACTGTATGAATGTATTGATGTATCCAATTTAAGTATGGGCACACAAACATATATGTATGAGTGATACCAGCTGCCCCACAGCGTTCTAAATCTTTCCGTTCACTTTCATTTTTTATTTCTTTGTAAACTTGATGAGCTATTCCATATAATTCACCTAAAATTAACTAGTTAAATAGGTACCTACTTTATAGTATTCAAACTATGTAAGCCATTATAATATTAATAATATACCTTGACATATAAGTGGACCACCAGAGTCACCGTCACATAATCCTTTTCCTTTATCTTGTTGTAAGCAAATGATTTTTCTCCTCTCCCAATCTTGAAGGCCTGGACATGCTTTGGCAGACATTGAAGAAAATACTTTAAGTTTGTGTAAGAGTGTATTTTGTCGGCCAGGTGGTGTATCAACTTCTCCCCAACCTATTGCCGTACATGGTATATAATCATTTGTTGGAAGTCCTTTATCGGATACATGAACAATATTAACAGCAATAGTCATAAGAAATGGTTTGACTCGAATGATTGCTAAGTCATCATTTGCAACTCGTTTTACCTATAATAAGCCAAAACCGTTTTATTATTGTTTCATATTTACATGAATAATTTTACTGACTCTATAATTTGGGTGTATGTGAACTTCTGTTCCGTGTCTGACTTGTGAATTATTTGTTCGTTCGATATAATTTACTATGCCAGCTACTACTTTGACATCGCTAGGTCTTATACCTAATATATAATTAATGGAAAAACAGTGAGCTGCTGTCAAAACCCATTCTTCTGATACGATTGCTCCGGAACATGACATAGTCTTATGGTATATGACTGTCATAAAAGGAAATTCAAAATTCTGTGCTTGTTCTCCACCGGCTAAACAAGCTTGTTGTCTAATAAGTGGTTGATTACGATTACAGACTACAGAAACTATTAATAATATGTTACTAACAATCGAATGTTCAAAATTCATCTTGTTAAGTGAAAATTGAATAATATAATATAATATATTTCAAAATACAAAGTTTGATTCACGTTATCTAATATTTAATAATAGACAATAAAACCATAACAACTATATAATTAAAATCAAAGAAGTGTACATGTTTTTATTTTAGCTATTGGTGCCACAGCAGTATATCCAATTGATTTGGTTAAAACTAGAATGCAAAATCAAAGAGCTGGTTCATTTATTGGTGAACTCATGTACAGAAACAGTTTTGATTGTTTTAAAAAAGTGAGATTTAGTTTTTATAACATTTTTTTTTTTCAAATATAAAGTTAATGTTATATAAAAATATATATTACTTCTGTTGTTAAAGATACTATACATTTTTAGGTAATAAGACATGAAGGAATTTTTGGACTTTATCGTGGTCTATTGCCTCAGCTGATAGGTGTTGCTCCTGAAAAAGCAGCAAAGCTCACAGTTAATGATTTAGTGCGAGATAAATTACGTCAAGAAAATGGAGATTTAGCTGTTTCTTCTGAGATTATTGCTGGTGCTTGTGTTAGTATATTTTGAACTATTTTAATTTTAAATTAAATTGCATATTTTCATATTAATATTACTTTCAGGCAGGATTTTCTCAAGTTATATTTACCAACCCGTTAGAAATAGTAAAAATTCGTTTACAAGTTGCTGGTGAAATAGCATCTACAAAAAAATTGAGTGCTATAACTGTTATTAAAGAATTAGGTTTCTTTGGCTTGTATAAGGTAATACATTTGATAAAAACTACAGCTGGAATTGATAAAAATGTATTTTAATACATTTTCTATTATTATTTAGGGAGCTAAAGCTTGTTTCCTACGAGACATACCTTTTAGCGCTATCTACTTTCCAGCATACAATCATGTAAAACAGGCTTTTGCTGATGAAAAAGGTTATAATCATCCATTATCACTGTTAGCTGCCGGTTGTATAGCTGGTGTTCCGGCTGCATCATTAGTGACACCAGCAGATGTTATAAAAACTCGGCTGCAGGTTGTGGCACGAAAGGGCCAAACTACTTATAATGGTTTGGTGGATTGTGCCATCAAAATTTACAATGAAGAAGGACCTAGGGCATTTTGGAAAGGAACTGGCGGTAAGTTTAGTTTATAATATTGATAGTTATACTTAAACCAAAATGTATGTGTTTTGTTTAGCTCGTGTATTCCGGTCTTCGCCACAATTCGGAGTGACACTTTTGTCTTATGAAATTCTACAAAGATTGTTTTATGTAGATTTTGGAGGCTCGTAAGTAGTAAAAGATGTACAAATTAAACTGTACAATTTATGTATTGAGTATATATTTTTTTTTTTAATTATTTTTTAGGCGCCCATCTGGTTCAGAAAAATTAGTTTCAGTACAAGGTGCTGGTGATGGAATAACTCCTTCAAATCCAGATCATATTGGAGGTTATCATGCAGTGCTTCCGATATTAGAAGGAATAGAGTCTAAATTTGGTCTCGTATTTCCTAAAATTAAATCAGAGAAATAATCATATCATACAGGCTGTTACACATACATTCTGAACATTTAATAATAATTGTTATTTGTGATATTAATATTTTTATCTCCATACAATTTATTGTTTTTCAATTCATCAACTCTATTATATATTTATACATGAAAACACATATACACGCAAACACAAATTATGTAAATTATTCCTGTTTCCTTTTTACATTATCCTATTTTATTTTTTGTATATCGGGTACGGATTAATATAGGTACAATAATGCTCTTATTAATTTTATAATGCTCTTGTACACCAATAAAATTATTTTTTTAAACTAACTCAAATTTCAATGTATTAATTCTAGAATTGATAAAAATGAAAAGATACTACCTTATTAAATATTTGAATATAACATTATATATTTTAGTTCTTAATTTTAGGAAATTTAATCTTGGCATACTTATATATTATAATTATTCCAATATTTAATTCAATGCTTAAACGACTTACCATACCCTATTCCTGAACACGTCAGATGTGATTCTATAAGTCGACTTTTTTATACCCTCTAAATATTTCTATGTATCAGCAACATGTTTACTATACATTTAAATTTCATTTTCATTCATTTTTATTATAATTTATTGCATTTATTTTAAAACTGAAATGCTGATTGCTAATGGTTATGACTGAAAGAGGAAATAATGAGGTATGTACCATTTTCATAAAATATTGCCACGTACAATGAAAATATACGTACATTGCGATTGGATTATCGCTGTATCTATTGTAGTCTGTGGAATAGTTTAAGTTTTCACACCAGACCTATGCTGTCCCCACTGTTTAGGTATTAATTTTACTTTTTTCTTTTTCCATAAATTCAAACATGAATTGAAACATTCGTTAAAAAGTTTAATAAGTTAGTAAAAATGTTTGTACCTACTATCTACGAGTTTTGTTCAATAAAAATTCGTGCTGTCATTTTAGTCTTGCAGTGTTTTTTTTTTTAATATCTGAATTATAATTTTAGTAAACATTAAACCAAAACCATTTATAATCCGTTCAGTGTCAAATTTATTACATGCTATTATATTTGACGATGTAATATTATTACGTGTTTATGCCGTTTCCACGTGTTAGGTTAAAATAAGGCCCGTTTTGTAATCTATACGTACTATGTTGGTAGCCGGTAGGGACGTACATAATATAAATATATAATACCTTACTTACCGATTTATATATAATATATTGTGTGATGGAGAAAAAACCTATTATACGGACAACTGCGTCCGATTACAAGTCCCATTAGTATAGTCTGTGATCGTGGAATAGGAGGGGGTGGGGGTGAGCTTATACCCTTCAAATAACTCCCATGCCCCACAAACAAATTTTTCATGGACTCATGGACTATTTTGGAGTCTGCAGATGGTTTTTGTCTCGGACCAGACCTGTTTCATCCTGGAAATGTAAAAATTGTATTTTATCAAATGTATTTAATTTTTACCAAATAAATAATCGAAACTAAAACTTAAATGCATCTCCGCCTATGCTAATTCAGGTAACGACAGGGGCGTGCCTGGGGGGGGGGGTTACAAAAGTAGTTTATTTTGAGTTACTATTTTGAATTTTCTAATATGTTAAAGATGTTTACTTAATTAAATCGGTTATATTTTAAATTCTGAGCAGAACAATGAATGTATTGATTTTACAAAGTGTTTTTTTATTTTCTGCCGTCGCCTTTCAGAGCAATAAAAATGTTTCGATGCTCAACTTTTAGGGTAGCACCGAGTAGACAATCGGACCTAGATGGTACTTTAGTTGGTAGTATAGGGAAAACAAAAATGTTTACTTAAAACTAAATTTTTATTAAAAAAAAGATATTGTTTTTTTTTTGTTTAAGTAAAAAATAATTAGCTTCAGAAACTTGAAATGTTTACTAAATATTTATATCAACATTTAATAGGCATATTAGGTATTTTATTTTAAAAATATTTTTGAGCTAATTTTAGACATTTGAAATTGTTGACTTATTTGTTCATTTACCTATGATTAAAATATTTGTTTATGAGTTAAAAAGGTTTATAATTTAATACAAGGTTCCTCACAACTCACAAGTTTTTCTTACTGCAGCAGTAAAAAAAACTAAAATGCATTTTTTAGTTTATGTTAGCTATACCTACTTATAATTTATAAATGTCAATAAATATTTGTATGCTAGGTCAAAAAGTATGGTAATTTAAAATAAGATTCCTCATAAGTCATAAGTTCTACATATAGGCTGTTACAATTTGTCGATATACACACATAGGCTATCTTAATAATTGGATATTTTTCGGCATCACGTAGGTAGTAGGTACACTATTTGTGTACACAATACAATTTTCTAAAATCTAAATTAATTTTAATCTATTTATACCATGAACCTAATCCTACCGTCTCATCAATCAGCGGTACCTCGGTATTATCATTTGACTTATACCTAAGTCGAGATTGGCTAATAAAAATATTATTATTATTGTATTTTAATTCTTAATGCCTATGTGATTTTTTTTTTTTGACAAAATATTTTTCAAACAAAACTTACTGTATTAGGCACTAAAAAATTACCCTTATAAGTTATCTTTAGAAGTATAATAGGCTGACTGTCTTGCCCTGCAAAATCGATTTTCTTATACAATGATTAATCATTGAATTCAAACCTTAACATCAATTATAACGACCTATTCAATGGTGATGACTGATGCGGTTTCTATGAGATGAGAATTAGTGTAATCTGGATCTCTACACATAGAGTGTAATCTGAGAAAGTGTATAATACATATATTTCAATCACACATTCCACATTTGACAGATGTAAAAAACAGATCTATGTTGATCGATGCATTTCAATGGCACAGTAAAAGTATTATATAAGGCTGATATGTGATGATAAAGCCACTGATAGATATTTTAATAATGAATTGTTACACATCATGTTTACTTTAGCAGCTTCCATATACCAATTTTTAGTGGTGGGGCGGTGAAGGGTTGAACTTAATATAGACAATACATAATACATTATTTATATTGTAGTACAAACAACTGTACAGCTGATTCTTAGTAAAGGATATGTTATTGATTTTAGTTATTTGTACATATTATTATGGTACATTAGTTCTCCGGAATGAAACTATTTTGGTTATAAAATATTTTATAATAATACAATAATTTCAATAAATATTTGAATTTTGAATGTGTAAATATATTTTGTAATTAACAATACAATACTATAATTATTAATTATGTAATATATAATTAATATTATACTAAAATAATTTATTCTTGAGTCTTTAAATTAAAATATTAATACTGTTTTGTTTTAATAAAATAGTTTGAATAATTAATATGAAATAATGAATATCCAAACTAAATTTATAAATAATTTATTTATAGCTGTATCAACAATTAAGTATTTTTTTTAATGTTGTATAATGTTCACCGTGTGCACTGTGTTGTATACTCATGTCCCATACTTAGTAGGTACTTAGTAGATTGTTAGTTTGTATAAATATAAAACAAGCTCATCGTTATTATATCTCTATGACGATTTACATATTAAGATATTTTATTTACTAAATAACTAGGTAGGTAATGTCTAGAATTCACGTTACAAATGTAGATGATGACTACCAGCTATGTATGTATAGGTAGGTACCTAATATAATAATATACGTGATTGTTCATGGGAAATAATAAGCGTTTTTTGGCGTGAATAATCGACATAAAATTTTAAATGGCATTTAAACCATTAAGTAAACTTAAACGACTGAGTATTTTTTGTTACTAGGTGAAATAAAATGCTTATTTAGACTCGTAGGAAATCATGTAAAACTTTCGGCAAATGGTTTTAGATGCGATACATGTACTATAATAGGAAAAGCCGGATTAAGACATTTCGCGTCCCGGGGCAGGTATTTTTCCGATTATTGATTAACATGTAGATACCCTTTTAATCCGACTTCGGCGATTGGAAAATAATTAATATGAGTAGTATTATATTTTAAAATGTTAATACATTGCGTGGTTGTTTTGATTCTTATGTTCGGTGTGTTGATAAAGTGATCATAATAATAATAATAACTACCTATATGATAAGTATTGCTTAATAATAAGAATAAATAAAAAAAGACAATGGTATTAAATATTTTATTATACAGCTGTCTGTCATTGGATTTAAATTAAGTATTTAAGTCTAAGTATTTTGAAAAATTAATCTACAGTATAACTTTTACCAAAGTGGAATGTTTCAAGTTTCTGCCGTCTACTATTCACACTTTTTGATTTACAACACAGACACTAAAATCGTTTAGGTAATGAATGAAGTGGTAATTCTTTAATGGTATACCTACGCGTGAAGTTCCAATTTTGTAATTTTCAGATGCCCATAAAAATATTTGTAGAACTACACATGATTGTTTTGTTATAATATTATAAGCAAAGTATATTTAGGTATGATACCTTATAAAACTTTTTCAAGCTTTTTGATCAAGCATAGTGTTTTTTTTTATCGATAGGAATTTATTTTTTTTTAAAAACACAACAATTTTGAATGTCTGGAAAGAGTCAAAATATTTTGATAATTTTACTAAATATGATGCTAACTTTTAACACTTGATGAAAATTACAAATATCTTTTAAAATTGCTATAAAATAACAAAAATATTCAATTTTGCTAAAAGTCACTATTTTTTATTGAGAAAAGTTTATATCTATTGCGATTTTTTACTTTTCATTGCCCAAAGTACTAACTAGAGCTACTTGAAAACACATCATTTTAAAATCAATACTTTTATAATTCAACTCTTAAACAATCAAAATCTACCTAAAAAATATTATAATTAGACGAGAAAAACAAGTAAAAGGACATAATGTGATCACTGATCAATAAAACACCCAAACTAGAAAGCTGGTAGTAACTACTTAAAAAGTTAAAAGTTATTTTTTTTGATAGTTAGTAACTAAGTTATTTCTTTTTATAAATAATTGTAGGTAACTCAACTTAGCTATTTTGTTAGAACTTAAGTTATTTGTAAAAAGTTATTTATGAGTTTTCTTATTTTAAACTTCACCTATATTATTTGCATTGACATTTCTGAGAACTGCCAGAACCGAGGAATATCTACCGACGATTGTAGGTACATTATTATTTATTACTATATTTTAGACGTATAGTAGTATATACATATAATACCTAGTATTATAGTGAATAGTGATTATTATTATTTATATAATATTTATTTATTAGGTACTAATTTTTAATATAATTAGGAAGCTTAGGAATTTATAAGCATACTGTTGCTTGATAGGTAATAATACAATTTCCAGAACGGTCCTAATTAGTAATTAGTAATTAGTAATTTTTGATACAGGCATACAGTGACACGTATACCTAGGTAACAGCGCGTAGGCGGCGTAGCTGTGTTTTCTACAAACTACTCTCTACAGTCTAATAATATTTGTAATATTATATAGGGATACAAATAAAATATTACAGTAACAGTTGTTAATCTTATAAAATCATATGGTCTGCGCATTTGCTATTAATTTATTTTACTTTATAGCAAAACTAGTTATTTTCCTACGGTGAGATAAAACACGTTTATATTGTGTAAGTTGAAGGTATTTAAAAAAAAAAAAAAGTAACTTAACTTTTAACTTACCTTAGTTATTATTTTCATGAAAATTGGTAACTTAACTTAGTTACTCTAATTTGTTTATTTTATAAAATTTACTTTAACTTAGCTTAGTTATTTTTAATTTTAGGATAACTTAACTTTAACTAGTTGAAAAAATTGGTTAACTTGCCCAGATTTAAAGAAATTTGAAGAAATGTATGTAACGTCACCATTCTCAGCATTTATCAATACATATTTTAATTTATTTTTCTATAATTTTTTTTCCTTACCATTGTAGGTTTTCAAATTTTATATTCACAGTTCCACCTGCTGTAATAGTGGTTGTTGAAATCTCCACCCTCCCGATGATAACACTGCACACTCACACACTTATCATCATCATACATGTATACATTATATTATGCCTAGGTACGTGTTCAAACGTTTTGGCGAAGGAATCCTTGGGGATAACACATGTAAATTTGTTTATCTGGGAAAAAAAGAACCCTCGATGTACTCATTTTGTTGGAACAGTAATGGACGGTATACACACACAGACACAGACACACACAAATATATATCGGCGAGAGAGACACCATATATATATATCAACTATATCCACTATACATATAGTGTACGAAAAGGGTCGACGATGGTTGTGGGGGAAAGTGGAACGTTTTTTTTATTTATTTATTTTTTTTTTTTTACCATTATTCGTTATTTTTATTATTATTTTTATGTGAACCGTATTGAAACTCATAGCGGGCGTGTTTTGTCACCGAAAATCGACGATAGGGATCTTTGGCTAAAAGCTTGTTGCCGGGGTTTTCTCTCCAAGGCCAAACCCTTCGTCCTACAACTGCTGCATTTACTCCCCGTCTGAGCGCGCGCGCTTTCCTATGGTCT